TCTTAAAGAGAGCCATAAATGCAAATAGGAACAAAACTTTTACTCCATACTTTTACAATATCCAGCTGACAATAGCTATTATTAAGTCTTACTGGGAGCAACTGACTTTAGCTGAATTGAGAGCTTTGTATGTAAGCACAGCACAGAATGCTCCAATTCTGTGAACTTAAGAGGAAAAAATATTTACAGTACCAATTGTCCCTTACTCCAGTCTGATATTAGAATTCAAAATAATGGCTGAAAAGTAACTGATAGAGGTTGGGGTGTGGTATTTTAGTACCTGGCATATTTCACATTCTGTGCAAGGAAAATGTTGCAGGATATACTAATTGTTACTTTGCAGCAAACAGAATGTAGCCTGGCATTTCTACCTCTATTACATTTCTTGGGCCTCAGTTTTCTAACCAAATAATGTGTACAAAATGTGTATGTTAGGCTATAATAAGCTTAAAAATGCTTAGTTTAGTGAAAATAACAAATAAAAATGCATTATATGATGGGAAATTGGTTGCAAAAATGTGTATTTTAGGAGAGAATTGTACTAAAATGCTGATGAATTCTCATGTGGAATTTAAAAAACACAGAGATTAAGGCAGAAATATAGAGAACTGAACTCAGGACTAGAAAAACAAGGAACTTAGAGAAACCATAATGAACAGGTATATCCATCCCTACTTCTGAGTAAACATACGTAGGATTGTGTTGCATGTCTGTACAGAATCCTGTCTTAAAATTGTTACAAATGGAAGGCTGTCCCCCCACCTCATTCTGCCTACCTACATCCTGTCTCACTGCTTAGCATCCAGACTGAAGAAAATTTCAGGGGAACTCAAAAATGTGCTCATTCCTTTGTGATATTTCAATTGGTCCCAACAAAAGCATTGCCCTATTTTTTGTTGGTGATGTAATTGCTTGGAAATATGCTTCCCTGTGATTAAAACTTGCAGCCACACAATTCAGTTTTCTCTTTCAAAAGTAAAGAGGGGAGTGTAATTTGTTGTTGACAGATTTCATTCCCTCATGCGAAACTCAGTGGCACGGCAAATTGAGTTAGGGTTTCTGGCAATTTTGGGTGTGGTGATCCCATTTCTGGCATAATGAGGATCCTTGTTCTCTTCTCTGCACTTATAGAATCATATAAACATAGAATTGTAGAGTTAGAAGAGATTCTGAGGGTCATCTAGTTCAGGAATCTCAGATAAAACATCCATGACAGATGGTCATCCAACCTCTGCTGAAAAACCTCCAAGGAAGGAGCGTCTACTACCTTCTGAGGGAGTCTGTTCCACTGTCAAGCAGCTTTTACCACCAGAAAGTTCTTCCTGTTGTTTAGTCAGAATCTCCCTTCTTGTAATTTGAATCCATCAGTTTGGGTCCTATGCTCCGGAGCAGGAGAAAAGAAGCTTGTTCCAACTTCTGTGTGACAGCCCTTTAGATATTTGAAGATGGCTATCATATCTCCTCTCACTCTCCACTTCAACTCCACCCAACTCCCTCAACTGTTCCTCATAAGGCTTGGTTTCCAGACCTTTAATCATCTTGATCACCCTCCAGGTTGAAACTCTTGTTCTTCTATTCAGAGAAAAGGGCTGAAAATCAGAGGGAGGACTTAACTTGGAAGGAGGCTTTGAGATGAAAAACAAGGCTATTTTACAGGTCTGTGAACAGAAAATTACCTATCAAGTTGGTCAGATGCCAGTTTTAAGGGTGCCTAGCATGTTGGCCCGGAGCCAGGTCCTGAAGCAACAGATCTATTGTCATTCTTAATTTTCCCGATGACCCACATAAATGGGCAAAGGCATTCTGTTCACATAATCCAGTTTCACAGAATGAGTGAAGGTCAGAATAACATCTGTCACTACATCTTGCAATTGCCTGCTTAGTCATGTACAGTTTGTGGGCCTTCTGGAGTAGCATTACACTTAGCTGCAAAAGACGTACCAAAAAATGCTGCTCTTCTACAACTCAGTCAGACGAAGAATGATCCGTAGACCTCACTCAACAACCTCCTAAAAGAAGTAAAAATATGGCACAGAGATCCGACTGGTTGTGGAGAGAATATTTCCACCGACAGATAAAGACCAGCATCTGCATGCTGCAGATTTTCTCTATTTTTACCTTGCAGCTCATTTTCAGAGTGTGCTGAGCTTTATCCACAACTAAATTAGAATGCTTGTGATGCATTTTTATTTATTTTAAGCACTGGAAGGGAAGAAGGACGTGGGTTATTTTCAGAATATAAACCGCTTGTTTTTTGTGTATTAAGCAGTACGTAACGTTTGCTTTTATCTATATCTATATCATCTATCTACCTATTTATCATCTATCTATCTATCTATCTATCTATTCTCTATCTATCTATCTATCTATCATCTATCTATCATCTATCATCTATCTATCATCTATCTAAATATAAAATGGATTGTCCATCAAGATAACCATTGCACAGCATTTTTCTATGGATGACATTTCTACCAGCACCAGCACTTTAGGCTACATAAGGATTCCCACAACCCCCTGGAACAGATTTAGGGGCACTTGGAGAGGAGTAGGAGGTGAAATTCAGTTGCACACCAGAAGTATTTGCACTGTTTAGCTGGGTATTGCACAGTGCTCCCCCCCAATCTGAAAACTAATGGCCTAAAGTGTGTATGTGTATATATGTGTGTATACAACAATGGTGATTTTTACATGTCACTGGTGATTGTTAAAGCAGCTTAGGCTTCCATTTTGGTGGTTTTGAGGGACTCTTCATGAGCACCAATTGTGGGCCCACTTTCTTATTCTAAAAAGAATTATTAGAATTCATAATTTCTAGCCCTTTGATCTTTCAGATATGCATTGAAATTGGATACACACACACACACACACACACACACACAAAAAAAACTCAACAACATTGGTTTAACAAAGTAGTTCTGGTCAAATTGCAAATCTGCCACTTGGCTGCTTTAATGCCAACATTTGAATACTGATTTTGGAATCAAATGCCAATTTCAAGGGTCAGACATCAGCTTTGAACCTGATATTTGAAAGAGGGGGAGGGAACCCTATCTGAATAATATCTCTGACCTCTGAATTTAGCTCTGCTTATATGGAGACAAATTTGAAGCACTAAATTAAGTTTGGTCCTATTTGGTCCTATTTTTTGCCATACAGTTTCATTCCTCCTTGTCGTAGAGTACAACACATTGCCTTAACTTTTGCCATGTTGATAGTTCTGCTATAAGCTCTATTCAATTTGGCGCTGAAAGAGGATGCTGTTTTAATTATTGATTTATGAATACCATGGGCTTTTATGAATCATTTGGACAGAATTATCTTCTAGTAATAAAAAATCATTTTATAGTATGAAATCTTTTAAATCTTTTAAAACCCACCACAAAAATTTCCATAGTTAATATTGGATTTGCCTTGGCATTAATATACTCCTTGACATAACCTTTCCTGTCCTTGCCCCGTCCCTCTTTTCCATTCTTTGTCTAACCTTTTGCAATCATCTGCTTTCAAAGATAATGTTTGGGACATAGCCACAAAATTTCATCACCAACAGGTATTATAATGCTAATATAAACAAGCACCTCTTTGTTTCATACTGTTACGGGAAAAGGGGGGGAAAGTCTTTTGTTTTTCAGATCCACCTGTGAACTTAATCTGATGCATGTACTATCAACTGGAATAACTATTCCCTCTTTGCTATTCTTTGACAACGGGCTGCTTCTTGGGAGTGTTTTGGGTGAAATTAACAGGAGAATAATGCTGTAAATTCATTTTGGCTTTCCATATTCTTTTACTGAAACAACCAAACAATGCTTTCTTCAGATTATAAAGAATAGCAACAACTATGGGGAATCTGGGAGCAAGCAGAGGTTTACACAGACCTCCCAGCCTTGTTCCCTCCACCCCACACTGTTTACAGGAAGGGGATGGGGGGGGAATCACAAAAGGTAGCAATCACATGCCATCATTCCAAACACTCTCATAATAAAACCAATACTTTTCTTTCTGTCCATTAAGCATTTGGAGGTGCCTCTTTTTTTCCTTTGGGTTTATTTAGCATTCTTCTCCATGCCCCAAACACCTGTTTATCAGTAGCATATAGCATTTAAGTAGATGCCAAAGGCTCAAATAGAGAGGCAAATTAGTCATCAGAGTGATCAATTGATGAGAAGAGAGGGGGCGATAACCCCCTTTCTCAGCTTATCTATTCTACACACATAAACTGGGGGATGGCTGTGTGCCTGTGTGTGCACATACAATAGTGTGGGGTGTGACCAAAGTGACTTATGGTCACAGCCCCTGCTGGAATGCAACCCTAAGAAGATTGGCCAGGGGTGAATGCAGACCCTGAGCCAAAAATATGTGTATTTGTGTGTGTGTGTGTGTGTGTGTGTGTGTGTGCTAAAACATTCAATCACATGAGTCGTCACCTGCAACATGAAGTGGTTCAGCCCAGAGTCACACACACTATTTCAGTAAGAAATAGAGGGGAAAGATAGTAAGAAAAGCAGGCTTTTTGAAAAGCTACCCAAGGCAACGTATTCTAAGATAAAGTTTCCATTCTCCATGCAAACAAAAGCTGCTTTGAATTAAATATTCTAAATACTGAACAAGCTGGCAACACTGACACATATTATCTAACTTAACCTTTCCGTTTTATCCTCAAATGACGCTGTGGTATAGACCAGACTGAGAAATCACAGGTTGGACCCTGAGGATCATCTAGTCCATGGGTAGGCAAATTAAGGCCCGGGGGCTGGATCTGGCCCAATCGCCTTCTAAATCCAGCCATCGGATGGTCTGGGAATCAGCGTGTTTTTACATGAGTACCATGTGTCCTTTTATTTAAAATGCATCTATGGGTGATTTGTGGGACATAGGAATTCGTTCATATTTTTTCCCCAAAATATAGTCTGGCCCCCCACAAGGTCTGAGGGACAATGGACTGGCCCCCTGCTGAAAAAGTTTGCTGATCCCTGATCTAGTCCAACCTCCATAGCTGCCCCATGTGGGGATTGAACCTGGAGCCTAGGTGTTATCAGCACCAGACTCTAACCACCTGAGCTATCCAGGCTTCATATAGTGACTAGCCCAACTTCACCCAGTTAATGCCGATTTGACTCCCAGCATCCCACTTCCTAGTCTGACACTCTTACCGCTACTCCATACTGAACGCTATTGCAGTGCTACATATCAAAAAAAGGTCAGATATCCAGCTATGAAATGAAATTGGAAAATATCAAGAACAAATATTGTTGTTTGTCAAATACTAACAGCACATTTGGCATTCTCCACAAATAACTTATCACATATGCATCACAAAAAATTCATAGAGGAGTTGCTTTTAGGATATGTTTTGTGGAGCTAATTCTTCTGAGGGGTCTCAAAGATGCACTTTACTAATCACTGCTTGTCTGACTTTAGAGACACCTCACATCTGAGCTGCATTACTAAGGTGAAAGAGGAAAGACTGAGATTGTCCTGCTAGTGGTGATGCATTTGTATTATTATTATTCTCATACTTAATGTGAAGTTGATGTTTGCACTGACATGATAATTACTTAAAGTGTTTTTAAAAGTTACACCTGCTGAACAGAGCAGTGCTGTGGTTCCGTATTTTCAGTCCAAAGTATCTTTTAGCAATATCTCCATATAATGCAGATGGCCAGATAATTTAGGGTTTATTTAAAAAACAAAAAACTTTGTTTTTCTGGAGGGATCTCTCTCTCTCTCTCATCAAAGAGAGAAGGCAACAGGTTTGTATCTTGTCTGTATACTTTGTTTTGTGACGTTTACAAAATGTTACACTCTTTGAGTAGGGTGCCACCAACATGGGTAAGAACTTATTGGCAGCTTCCGCAGGGGAGATGTAGAGTCTAAAGCAGGGGTCAGCAAACTTTTCCAGCAGGGGGCTGGCCCACTGTCCCTCAGACCTTGTGGCGGGCCGGACTATATTTTGGGGAAAAATAATGAACGAATTCCTCTGCCCTACAAATAACCCAGAGATGCATTTTAAATAAAAGGACACATGCTACTCATGCAAAAACACGTTGATTCCCTGACCGTCTGTGGGCCGGATTTAGAAGGTGATTGTGCTGGATCTGGTCCCCGGGCCTTAGTTGCCTACCCATGGTCTAAAATGACCCTCAGATTTAATCCAAATATATATCAGTTTAAATGGGTTGGAAAATGGGATACTTGGGGAAACTAAAACATGGTTAGGCTTATTGAATAGCCTTATTCATAGCTCTTAAAATGGCCTCAAATATACTTATAGTTACAGACTGATTTTTAAAATGGGGCCTGGCAGATAACCAAATCATTCAGACAACTGGATTTTTGGATTGCTGTAGAAGTGGAAGAGGTCCTTAAACCCTCCCCTCTGGGATACATAAACCATTTATAGGATATCGCCATTGCCCAAACACATCCCCTCCATAATTGTTTGTTCTAAATAGTATATATTTATTCTTTTTTGACCTTCCCATGCAGATCAATCCTAATTTAATTGGATCCATGTTTTGTGTGTGTGTGAAGAGAAATTAACCTGTGTACAATACAGCAAATCTTCTTAAATCCCCCAAATCTCCTTTAAAAGTAGTAAACAGATGCATTAAAAATGAATGGAGTAATGATGTTCATGGGTGCCCACAATTAATTAGATTTAATTTTCTGCTGTGATGGATTCCACAACTTGGTGGGTACTGGCCAGAGATACATTTGCTTTTCTCATGTTGGGTAATTGGATTAGTAGGTAGATTGGGTCTTTAATCTATTTGATAGAGTGAGACAAATTTCTGCTAATTCATGCACTAGGTGGAAGGGGGAACTTTTTTTTAAAAAAAGTGACAGGAAAAGAATATCATTGAAATGGATGTCTGCTGTGTTATTTACATTGTAAAGCAAGATACTTCTTTTCCTTCATCTGCACCAAGATGCTTGTAAAATAGGACCAAATGGGCGAATCGATCCTTTTAGTACCAAAATGGGGTTTGCTCAAGATTTGTGGAACAGAGGTCCAATCAAAACAAACAGTTCAGAGCAATGAATTGTGTGGCCTTTCCTTAGGAGGAATTGATAAAGAGTCTTCTCTCTTTATCAGTGGGGGGCAGGGGGACACTGCTGGGAGCTGGGAGTTCCAGTATTTCAAGCCACAGTTGATTATTTGATGAGGTTTAAAGCAATCTATAAGGGACCCAGGTGGAGCTGTGGGTTAAACCACAGAGCCTAGGGCTTGCTGATCAGAAGATTGGCGGTTCGAACCCCCGTGGCGGTTCGAGCTCCTGTTGCTCGGTCCCTGCTCCTGCCAACCTAGCAGTTTGAAAGCACACCAAAGTGCAAGTAGATAAATAGGTACTGTTCTGGCAGGAAGGTAAACGGCGTTTCCGTGCTCTATTCTGGTTTGCCAGAAGTGGCTTAGTCATGCTGGCCACATGACCTGGAAGCTGTACGCCAGCTCCCTCAACCAATAAAGCGAGATGAGCGCCGCAACCCCAGAGTTGTCTGCGACTGGACCTAATGGTCAGGGGTCCCTTTACCTAAAGCAATCTATAATAAATGCCCTTAAAAATAAACTTATTTATGGTATCCTGATTCTGAAGTTATCCAGAAGCATGGATGTTGAACATTGATGTGAATCTCATCTTCACCTCACCCCAAGGTAAATGCATTTTTAACTTCTCTACTGAAACCTGAAATTTGATCATTTTTAAGTGTCCCACATTTTTGGCAACGGACAAATTTGTCCATTTCAGTTCTCACGGTTTCTTATTTTTCCAATATTAAATTCACATTCCTACATTTTGGCAGCAATTTAAGAAAAACAAACAAACAACACCGTATGAACATTTATCAGCATTTAATGAAAATTTATCCTAACGAAACATGCTTATGCACTTTTTACCAATGTACACATTTGTGTCAGCAATTTCCGCCAGTAAAATGAATCTTTGTAAGTTAGCTTCACTAATATATGAATTTTATGCACACTTTCCCTGTATTGCATTTTTTTCTACTCATTGTTGAGATGGTGAACTGTAACACAAAATTCAGAGAAGTTTGAATTTCAAAGGGTACCTGTGTTTCAATTTGTGGATTTTTTCAAGAACTACAAAGTAGGTTGTTGCCCATTAAAATGGCCACAAAATCAAATCCATTCACCATCCCTAGTTATTTTCCTCTCAGACAATTAGGCCTGAAGATGCAGGATATTTGCACAGGGGTGCAAGTTATACTAGGAGTACCATGTTCTCCCATTTGCCACTGGTTCTTTCATAGCTCTTTCCATTCCCCACACTAAAATACTGAGATGTGGCAAAACCTCAGACTCCAACATTAGGTTAGGAGTGGCTGGAAGGGGTGGTGGAGGCCACATGACACAAACACTCCCATTATTTGTATCAAAGGGTATGAGCTTCTATTTGCCTTGCTCTTTTTGCTTCTGGCCCATTTGGCCTTTGGAAGGTGGGCCAGGTATGAGTCCAGCCCTTAGACTAGAAGTGCTCCCCCCCACCGCCTCTGCCCTGCAGGAATCAAATATACGGTGACTGCTTAGCAACTGCAAAGCAACTTCTAACAATTCAAGGTTAGCCAGGAGTGAGTCAAAGTATCCAGTAGTTGCTAAGCAACAGCATCACTCCTGTACCAAAAATATTTGGCTGGTGCTAGAATGAGTTAATGCAAGAGATGTCATGCAGGAGTTATTAAAATAATAAAATAAATAAAATAAAACAATCATATTTATCTTGTTGTGGGACAGGAAACCACTGGGTTGACTGAAGCCTAAATAAAGCCAAAATACTTGTTATGTTCTAATTCAGCAATTTCATCTGGGAGTCTCACTTTCAAATCCTTCTGTAGGAGAATGGTTACTTTAAAGATACTAGCAGAGTAGGAATGGATAACCTTTGGCCCTCCATGTGTTGTTGGACTACAACTCGCATCATCCCTGACCAAAGCCATGCTAGCTGGGACCAATGGAAGCGTCAAACAAACAAACATTCAGGGATCCACAGATGCCCAACCTCTATCACATAAGGAGTCCATGGATAGTAAAGAAACTGAAGAATTTTACAGTTACTTTAGAATTGTAGATAACACCATCACAGCGATGACACAGGGCAAGACATGAGGTAGGTGTTCTGGAAAGCATCTGTGTTACTGTGTCACCTTGCCAAGAGCGGTCGGCCAGCCATTTGGTCAAGCAGGAGGGAGTAGAGTGTATTCACACAAGGGCTGGACAGTGGCACACCAGCAGCAGAAGTGGATGAGGAGCAAGGCTGTCGGCTAGCCAGGTTTTGGCACCTGAGCCTTTTTCATTGGCGATACATTTTCATTTTCTACTGGCATCTCCAGTAGAGTGATGCCAAAGACCTCTGCCAGAGGCCCTAGAGCAGAAATATTAGTCTAGCTGAATTTATAGTCTAGGCTATTATGAGGCAGCTTCTGATTGTTCCAATAGCACAAGGATTTCGGGTTGCCAGATTGAACGACTTCCATCTCCTCACACCACATACTGTTCCAGGGGTTTGCTTGACCTCCCCTCCAAAATAGCCAATTGAGGGGGGGGGGGAGGTTTCATTGTGAAAGCAGAAGTCCTTGAGCACAGCTTCTGATGATGGAACTCATTACTTGCATGCTGTCCTATACTGCATTCCACTTAATGAATTCTCCTTTTTATTTATTTATATTCTTCCTCTTACGAAAAGCACTGGAAGACATAGAGCTTGACAGGCCTAGACTGTCTTCAATCCAAGACCCGGCTTAACTTGTTTATAGATCACACCCCAACTATAAATGTAAACTTTTGTTTTTTGATCGCCACCTAGTGGTCTCACAAAATCTTCAGACAATTCTACAGACCACCTGGTGCATTCTTTCTTATTAATGCCATTTTCACCAGTAAAAGATTTTAGTTCTTCATTGAGCTTACTGTTTTATCAATGTAAATCCACAGGCAGCCAAATAAGGTGCTTAAATTATGACCCCCCCAGCAATCACACATGCAAAATACCCCTTGTCCACCACACACAAACACAGCTTCCTAATCAGTTCCAGAAAATTATCCGTGTTTTG